AGCGCCACACAGCCTTCCATCCTACCGTTGGAGTAGGGTTGGCGGTTCGTACCTGCGCCTCTTAACCATGCAGCGAAACCAAGTGTAACGAAGGTCCTCGATCTTAGCAGGGAAGTGTCGTGAACTGCAATCGGGTCGAAGGGCTTGATATGAGTGTTTCAAAGGAGAACAGGGCCTCACCCCTAGTTTCCAGGCTCATGAGCACGGCGTCACCAAGGCCCGGCGCTGGTAGGGACAGGAGCCCGTCTGCCATGAGCTGCAGCACACCTTGCTGCAACCCTTGTTGAAAGGCAACCAAAGGTGCAAGCATAACCAAGTCCCCCGCGCGGTGTGCATTGAAATTGTATCAAATTGTCGAACACTCTTTTGACCCTCAGTAGTCTGTCGTTACGCGGGTAAAAATTTTGAAGAGCGTCTGTGTTACTTGCATTGATCTGTATGCCAGATAGATGTGCAATCCCCCACAGCTGCTTGTCACAGCGTTGCTTGAGGCTGTGATCCCTCATATTTAAGAGTCACACTGCGACATTTTCAAACCATAAAGAACCATAAAGAACGTCAAGTGCGCGACTGCTGTGTGCAAAGGCAAGTCGAGACGGCGTGAACGAAGTCTATTCGGGCTAAGGAACGACCCGGCCTTGAGTTCATGCCTTGATCGCAGACCTCATATACAGGCATGCCTGACATTTTTCGCTTCGCCTTGCAGCCACCCCACCGAACAAGCACCCGTACGCTAATAGTGAAATATTAAGGAAGTGCGAAGTGTGGGATCCCTCGACCAACGGAATGGAAACGGCGCCTAACGCAGGAACAGCAAACNAAGGAAGTGCGAAGTGTGGGATCCCTCGACCAACGGAATGGAAACGGCGCCTAACGCAGGAACAGCAAACCCGAGCAGCGGGGGAGGTGCAGCCACACCGACTGCAGCCAAAAGGCCGTCCCCGCCGAACGAAGTTCTACTCTATGTGTTGCTTACCGGAGCACCCCCGGCTGCTTCGTACGAAATGCTGACACCACAAACACAACCAATTAGGGCTCGCTCATATACCTAGTAATCAACTCTCAGTGTACACAATCCCGGGCTCCGGATAATCAATCTCAACTTAGCGACGAACAGCGCATGCATTCCGCTGCCCTCACGTCGGTGGTAGGCTGCATCCCCCGATGGGGCGGCCTTTGCACGTGCGAAGCCCTCATACGTTTCCCGCTAAATATTTTAGTGTACTCTCGTGATCCCCTGGTGTGCCTCCTCGTTCTGAGCCAAGTGAATAGCAAGATAACATACCCGACAACTATGGAAATCTGAGCGAACGTCTTTGGCCGCAGCATGCGTCTTAGCAACCGTATGGGAGTGCAACAAGCTTGCAAGTCCCACGGTAGCGCGGAGGCCCTTGCTGCTCCGCTCTCGAGCATACATTTATACCACAGTAAGCGCACTACTTGCCAAACCAGCCTCTGAGATGATATTCACACCGAAGAACGGCTTGCTCAAGGGATGGGGCGCGTGACGGTGGCATGCAGATTGAGAAGAGATTGACCGCGTGAGACCTAGCTTGAAGATCACATCTGCTTACGAATGCAGCCAATTCTGATTACAAAGCAGCAAGGCCAGCTGAGCATCGCATGCATATTTCTTAGTGGCGCCAGCAACAGACNATGTTAGAACTGCTTTGAGATCCCCCTCCGTCGCAGCTCCCGGTCGAAGAGCTAGCCGAAGCAGCATGGCAGTTCGACCATGAACTGAAAAACCTGAGGCTGGAGTTGCGCACTCGCAGTTTCTTGACAGCTCAACAGGGCAGCAAACAGGGCAGCTGCTGTCTAACCACACGCATATTTCGGTGGAAAAAGACAGAAGATGTCTGCATCGACAGCTCAGCTCCTAGGGTCAGGCGTGAGCCTCAGGTAAGCCTTGCCAGATGGCAGCTGCTGCACCTGGTGGCCCTTTGGTAGTTTGCTCTTCGCCTCCTCTTCCGACAAGGTTGGCACGACGCAGCAGGTACCTCCAGGAGTCCACTCCACAGGAGTTGCAACAGGATACTGCTCAGTAAGCTGCACCCACACCACAGAACACTACGACGAACTGCCTGATGCAGGCACCAGGACTAATAGTTGAAAGCGTGGAAGCGGCAACAAGCCTCTGGACGTACCTGCAGAGAATCAAGGACTCTGAGGATCTCCTTGAAGCTCCTGCCTGTTGTTGCCGGGTAGAGGATGGAGGCTGCCAGCTTCTTCTGCGGGCTAATGAAAAACACAGAGCGACAAGTCAGTGGCAGTCCTGCCTTGTCCTTTTCTGCTGGGTCCATTATCCCCAAAGACGCTGCCAACTTGCGCTCTGGATCGCACACCATTGGATATGGCAGCTCTCCAGTAGCTCCCCCGTAAGAGATAATGTCCTTAGCCCAC